GTAGAAGTCTCTGACAAGTCACTTGTGGCAGAGGCTGTTTTCTGGTCATGCATAGTAGGACCACCCAATTGTCACAGCTCAGAAATCCGGTCTTCACCACAGATAGTGTCAGAAACCACCTCTGCAGTGGAGCACCTGCCCTGTGAACTGCAGTGTCCCAGGAATTAGAACAAAAGATGCTGTTAATCAACAATGCTGCTGTTAATCAAAAAGATACCTTGTTTACACTGACATATGAGTCCCCAGGGCAGGTCTGTGTGAGGTCCATGGGACTGTCTATGCTTTGTACACAGGACATACTCAATATATGTCTCCTGCTTTAGTGAATGAATGAATAAATGAATGAATCGACAGATAAATGATATACATTTCTGCTGTAGCAGGGCAACTTGCTGGATGGCCTTGGGCATAACCATGAATTAGGCAAAACATCTCATTAGTCTTTTCCTGTCTGCACTTCTAGCTCCTCTCTCCTCTGGCTTTTTGCCTCTGCCCAAGCTTTTCAATGCCTTCAGGGCGCTCTCCTGACTGCTCGGGAGCCCACACGTCCTCCTTTTCCTACAAATGATGCCCTACTCTGGGACTTCACTGCCCAGTTCCCCAGCAGTTTTTCAGCAATTTCTCAGTTCTGAGTCTCTTCCAGGGGCCGTCGCTCTGGCTGGCTGTCTCCCAGGTAGCAGGGCTCAACTTTGAGAAACGCACAACTTACGCAAGTGAAGATTGTCTCTGCTGGTTCTGAGAAAATCAGTAAAGTTTTCTACTCAAAGCATGATGTGGACTGATTAAAAAATAAATAAGCAAATACATTTTTAAATCAGCAAAGCTTCCTTTTAAATTATTTTAAGTTCTGGGCTACTGGTGCAGATGTGCATGTTTGTTACATAGGTAAATGTGTGTCATGGTAGTTTGCTGCACCTATCAACCCATCACCTAGGTATTAAGCCCAGCATGCACTAGCTTTTTTTTCTGATGCTCTCCCTCCCCTTATATCCTCTGAGAGGCTCCAGTATGTGTTGTTCCCCTCCCTATGTCCATGTGATCTCAGTGTTCAGCTCCCACTTACAAGTGACAACATGTGGTGTTTGGTTTTTCTGTTATTGTGTTAGTTTGCTGAGAATAATGGCTTCCAGCTTCACGATCTCATTCCTATTTATGGCTGCATAGTATTCCATGATGTATATTTACTACGTTTTCTTTATCCAGTCTATTATTGATGGGCATTTGGGTTGATTCTATGTCTTTGCTATTGTGTATAGTGCTACAATGAACATACATGTGCATGTATCTTTATAATAGAATGATTTATATTCCTTAAAATACTATACAGAATGCTGGAGTGGACTCGATGAGATTGGCATTGTCATACGCTGCCGGCAGATAACATGTGGTACGTTTATAAAAATCAGTCTTGTGATAAGTTTCAAGAATTAAAAAAAAATTATACCCTTTAACCTAAAATTATACCTTAGATATTTATCTGAAATAATCAGAGATCCAGAAAAATGTTTATGTACAAAGATATTTATAACATTATTTACACAGTGATAAAGGAAATTCAACCTACATGGGAATGATTAAATACAGTCATGATGAAATTCTATGCAGTTATTTAAATTGTTTTTGAATTACTTTTAATGACCTGGTAAGATGCTTATTAGCTATTACAAGTAAAAAAAAAAAAAAAAGGCAGGGTTCAAAATTTTTAAATAAAATTTAATTTAAAAATTATGTGCATATAAACATACTGATCATCTATGTGATAGATTTGGGGTGGTTTTATCTCTCTTGATATTTTCTAAATTTTCTAATATGTACAAATTTACTTTTATGGTCAGAAAAAAAATGTAGAAGCATTTTTTATAGAAGTCTTTTCCAGTTCTATAGCCAGAGCCCTTCCAAGCCTGCAGCCTCTTACTGCAGGATGCTCTGATACAGGTCGCTGCTGGGGGCAGTGCCCTGTATTTGCCAGGAGCCAGCCTTGAGCTCCATTAGCCTGTATTCTGGCCCTGGTTTTGCCACTAACTGGCTACAAGACCTTGGACATGTCATTTTATTTCCCTGGACTTTCAGGTTCCTCATTTATAAAATGAAGCATCTGGATTAGATGATCTTTAGGGGTTAGATTGTGATTCTGTGATTCTGATAAACTCATGAGGTGCAGGCATTCACTGTGAATAAGTTTCCATGATTTACCCTTTTCCATTGTATGTCTCTTAAACAGGGGATTCTTATCTGAAACTAGAGGAATGGTTCTCTAATGGCAGAATCTCACATCAGGCTGTGAATCACCTATACCCAAACCCAGACCTAATAGTTTTCTACAACTCAGCACCCTAGGCATTATCTGTCCCTTCCCCTTCACTACAAAAAGAGGAGGAGCTAAGAGGGTCAGGGACCCTTCCACATCAGTCTCCAGGGAGGAGGGGTGTCTGTCTGTAAGCTTCTTTCTTGTCCCTGCCCCCTCCCCCAGCTGTTTACTGCTGTCTGCTTCCTTCTCCATCCTCTTCCCTATGGGTGAGTTGGGCTTATGTCATCATGGTTCCCTGGTGGGCTGGTGGCTCAGCCACCACAGCCTAGGGAAGGAAGGGGTATGACTCGTGCCCCAGTTCCGGTGAGTCAGGCCGGGTGGGCTGGACCAGGGGTTTCCTAGGACAGGAAGCACGTTCTAGGTGTGCTTTAACTTCTTCCTGGCAGGGCCCTGCCAGAAGAGGGCACCCATCTTTCTCCCATTCCCATTTCTGTGACTCATTCAAGAACCCCTCTTGCCAAAGAAAATGCCACCTCTCCTAAGCCTCAGAAGATTATGTCTGGGTGGGGCCAAGACAGCCTCTCTGAGGAAGGAGATGGACAAACCACAGTTAGAGCAAAAGAGGATTAGAACTTCCCAGCTCAACCTCTCAGGTCCTGGGTTTCAGCCCAGCCAGGTTTCAGAACTGGGACAATTCCTTAGGAAGCAAGAGTATTTGCAATGCCCTGGAGCTGTGTAACCTTGAGCAAGTTATTTAACTGTGTGGAGCTTCAGTTTCCTTGACCAGAAAAATGAGATAATAAACTCACCTCATGCGGTTTTGCTATGTGTTAGATAAAACCTAGCAACTACTACTACAGGCCTAGCTTCAAAGGTGCCGAGCTGATTGATGTTCGTTCTGAATCAGAATGGAAGCCCCACTGCTTTGGAGCTTCCTGGGAAGTCTAAAGGCCAGTTAGTGCAGAAGCCTAGAGTGGGCCGTTGGGCTGGCACACAGTGACCCAGACTCTCTGAGTTTTCCTTGGGGCTGGGGAGTGGGAGTAGGGGTTGAGGGGAAGTAATATGTCTACTACAGACATGTGGAAGTGGTGCTGTGGCCAGAGCTCCAGGGCAGGGACTGGTCTGGGAGCCGGCTTCAGTCTGGTTCTGAAAGGCACCCCCCACCTTCCACAGTCTGGTTCAACTTCTTACTCTCTGGAGCCTTCTCTTCCCTTACAGGCTTCTGAGGGCCTTTCCCATGCCTGGTGAAGAGTCCTGACAGGGCCCTTCAAACTGGAGCACAAATAATGAATGTAGGCCAGCCCCATGACTCACACCTACAATCCCAGCATTTTGGAGGCTGAGGCAGGAGGACTGCCTGAGCCCAGGAGTTCAGGACTAGCCTGGGCAATATAGTGAGACCCTGTCTCTAGAAATAGAAATTTAAAAAAAAATTGTGTGACTGTATCTTAAGGATTGCTAGACAGAATCAGTACTGTTGTACTGATGTTTCCTTCTATTCCGGGGTTCAATAGGACTGGGTAGAATATTGTCGTTGATCCTAGCTATTTAAAATGTTAGCATTTTGTTCATCGTGGATTTTTTGACATTAATTTTGATTTTTTAAAAAATATTGGCCAGGTGTGGTGGCTCATGCCTATAATTCCAGCACTTTGGGAGGCCGAGGTGGGTGGATCATGAGGTCAGGAGTTCAAGACCAGCCTGTCTAAGATGGTGAAACCCTGTAGGCACTAAAGAAAAATACAAAAATTAGCTGGGCGTGGTGGCAGGCACCTGTAATCCCAGCTACTAGGGAGGCTGAGGCAGAGAATTGCTTGAACCCGGGAGGTGAAGGTTGCAGTGAGCCGAGATCATGCCATTGCACTCCAGCCTGGGCAACAGCAAGATTCTGTCTAAAAAAAAAAAAAAAAAAAATTACATTAAAATATTATTTTTCTAGGTCTTACATGGTGTCTTGTGCCTATAATCCCAGCACTTTGGGAAGCCCAGGCAGGAAGATTGCTTGAGGCCAGGAGTCAAGAGCAGCCTGGGCAACCTAGCAGCACCCCTACAAACAATAAAAGTAAACCAGCCAGTCATGGTGGTGCCTGCCTGTAGTCCTAGCTCCTTGGGAAGCTGAGGCAAGAGGATCTTAAGCCTAGCGTTTAAGTCTGCAGTGAACTATGATCACACAACGGCACTCCAGCCTGGGTGACAGAGAAAGACCCTGTCTCAAAAAACAAAAAACAAACAAAACCTATCATCTATCTGTATATATAATGTATCTAGATAACTCCTTGGTGCCCCCTTAAATTTTGCCCTTAATGATGGAATTTTTGGCTTCACCTTTTTTGAGGGAGTGGGGTACAATCTTGGGGAGAGGGGGCCCTGCTGACTGCGCCCGCCTCCCTAAAACTGTGACCTTCCTGTTACTGAGGGGTCTTCTCTGCCCCCATCAGAGGCCAGGATAAAGTTCCCAGCCCAGTTCCGGCTCATCCACCTCCTACTTCCCACCTCCTACTTCCAATGAGCTCAGGAATGGCTCCAAATCCTGGAGTCCTTTCGGTTTTGTTAATTCGATAAGCGTTCCTCGAGGACAATCTGCTAAGTGCCCAGGAAGCACCTGGCGAGGACGCTGAGCAGAGACTGGATCAGTGAGGGGCGCGGGGCGCACCTGGATGGGGCGGGGCTGGTAGACTCTGTACATTGAGGACCAACCACGGACCCTGGAGCACCTTCGGGTGGAAACGTCACCTAAGAAATCCCGACCTGGTCTGACTTCCTGCCCCGGGGCCTCAGGCTTTGGACACGCGCCAGGGAGGCGTCGCCCGGCCGCGTCGGAGCCGCTTCCTGGGCGCCGTGGGCGCGGGCTGCGCCGGCTGCGCGGTTGCAGAGAAGCGCGAGGCGCGGGCACTGCGCACCTGGGGTGGCCCTGGCGCGTGGGCGGCGACATGGAGGACGGAGTGCTCAAGGAGGGCTTCCTGGTCAAGAGGGTGAGTGCATGTCCGAGCCTCGGGACATTGCCTGGGTGGGGCCCTGCCGGCGCGGCTCCCTTCAGCTGGGCCAGAGGCGCGCCCCGGGACGGGCTTGCCCTGGTCCCTATCCCCAACCCCTGTGGTGGGACTGGGCTGCCTGTGGCCCTGATGGGCAGAGCTGCATGTCTGAAAGGATGCGGGGTGAGCAGTGGTTGGACGTCCGCCCGGAGCCGGAGGAAAGCTTTAGACAGAAAAGAGGGGCCGTGCACAGTCCAGGACAAGAGTGCCACCTGGTCAGCGCAGTATAGAGTCCGGGCCGGGGTACCGAAGCGGGGGTCTTAATTACAACTTGTTAAAATGTTATGAATGGTATGGTATTTAAATAAGATTTACTTTAGTAAGAATATGGGCGCTTTTCATTTTTTAAATGAATGTGAATTTTCCAATTTTTTCTCAATAATCTTAAAATACACATGTTTATATATATTAAAAAAAAAGAAAAAGATTTACTAAGATAACATAGGCGTGCTCTGTAATTTACAACCTGTGAAGAAGGAGGAATGCTATGTGTCCTAAGCACCTACTGCTGGCCAGCCCTGGACATGGCCTCATTTCATCCTCCCAGCAGCCCCGTGGGGTCAGTGGTATCTCACTGACCCCCTTTCATCAAGGCGGAAAATGAAGCCCAGAGGAGTTAGGGAACTTGCTCAGGGTGGTGGAGGCAGAGGGTGGTGGAGGGTGGTGGGTGGTGGAGGCAGGATCCGGATCAGACCCACTCAGGTTGACCCAAAACTTTTCCTGCCTCCTGAGTGCCATGCAGGGTGGGTATTGACATCATTCTATTACAGATGGGGAAACAGGATCAGAAAGATGAACTAGCTTGCTGAGAGCTCCAGAGCCAATAATAGCCGGGACTGGAACTGTATGTTCTGACCTTCCCTCCTCAGTCCCTCCCCACCACCCCAGGTGGCCCAGGGCAAGCAAGAGTGCAAACAAAAATTTGGTGCCTGGGATTAAGGTAGAAGATGAACAAAAGAGCAACTGCAAAAGGAAGTTTGTTATTTCACATTTTTTTTTCCTAATTTGACCTTTTTTTTGGAGACGGGGTCACCCAGGCTGGAGTGCAGTGGCACAATGATGGCTCACCACAGCTTCAACTTCCCAGGCTTAGGTGATCCTCTCACCTCAGCTTCCCGAGTAGCTGGGACTATAGGTGCCCAGTACTATGCCCAGCTAATTTTTGTATTTTTTTGTAGAGAGAGGATTTTCCCATGTTTCCCAGGCAGGTCTGAACTCCCAGGTTTAAGTGGTCTGTTCACCTTAGCCTCCCAAAGTGCTGGGATAACAGGCGTGAGCCACCACACAGAGCATAATTTGAACAATGCCATTAACACTAACCATCTATACTGCCACGATGGCATAGCAAATGGACATGCAAATCCAGGGCTGAGCTTTCTGGTTCTTCTACTGAGTTTTCAGCTGTGGAAGGGGAACAAAGAGGGATGAGGGACCCTTCCTTTCATCTCCTTCCTGGGTGACTGGATCAGCCCTAAAGTCTCAGATCACTTTCATTTTCCCCACAAAATGTGTCCACATGTGTTGCATGTTATTTGAGGAGAGCAGTGGCTGTTTGCTGGAAACAGTAAGCAAGGAGGGTAGAGGCTGATGCCAGATCAAGGGTCAGACTGGGTAGAGTAGTACAAAGTGCCACGCCCACTTCTTGCCACTGTGGCTGAACTGATAGGCCAGTTTCTCACAGCATGCGGACGTGGCTGCATCTCAGAGAGACGACACATGGGGGGCTTCTGTCATCCTAATCTCACATTTAACTGAAGCTTGGGAGGTGGGTGGGAGAGGGAGAGCTGGGCATGGGGCTTTTGGTTGGCACGGTTGATGGCTGGGCTGGGTAAAGGCTGTGGTGGGATGGAGTTAACATGGAGACTGATCTTCTGATGTGGCTTTGGGAGTTTTGGGGGGCCTCCTCCTGTTCCTGGGGGTTAACTTCCATCATTCCCTATCACCCCCACCACGCTGAGAGTCAGAGGAGGGCTAAGGGCAGAGCCACAGAGCTCCCAGGATGTCTCCAGGAGAAGGATGGGAGTTCTCTTTTGGGTGGCCTGGTTAGGTGCAGAAAATGAGGAGTCAACAGGTCTAGTCCCCATAAGCCCTTGGAAAAGATGGGGCTTGGCTGAAATACCTAGAACTCATTCCAGCCAAATCTAGGGACTGGGATTTGGAGCCTGACCCTGAGACAGAAGCCACACCCCTCCCTGCAGGGTGAGGATGTGGCCCCAGAACCCCTGTTGAGGTCCCAGCCTGCTGAGCAATCTCAACTTTTTCAACCCCCCATAACCCCTTTCCTCTTGGGTGATAACAGTAGTCCCTATGTCCACTGGAGAAGTTGCAGGCTTTGGCAGGGGGTTCCATAGTTTTAGGAGAGTTAAGAGCTCAGACGTGGGGCAGGGCCTGAGCTGGAAGCCGGAGTGCAGAACAGTCATCACTGGTGAAGGTGAAACCGCAGACAGGCAGGGGCATGATGGAGTTGGCTCTTAATCCTCTCAGACTAGAAAAAAGCAGAGCTCCAGGCGAAATACAGGGAGCTCATTGGGCTTGGCTCTCTGGGGAGCTGGGGGAAGGAAGTGGGGGATGAGCCATGGGCAGTAGTGCTTTTTCTGGGAGAAGAGGCAGAAGCACTGCCAGGTGTTCCTGCACGGCTCATATTGTGAATAACATTGCAATGTGAACGTGCTCTGGCCTAGAAATTTTATGTGTAGGGCTCTATCTTTGCTGTAAAGCTCTATAAAAGCTTTATAACAGTTATTTTTATTTTATTTTATATTTTTGTAGAGATGAGGTCTCACTCTGTTGCCCAGGCTGTTTGGGTTTGCCTTCAAACTCCTAGCTCAAGTAATCCTTCGGCCTCGGCCTTCCAGATTGCTGAGATTAGAGGTGTGAGTCACCACATCCCACTGTTATTTATTTATTGTGTTTAGACAGGGTTTCACTCTGTTGCCCAGGTTGGAGTACAGTGGCATCAGCAGGGCTCACTGCAGCCTTGACCTCCAGGTTCAAGCAATCCTCCCATCTCAGCCTCCCTAGTAGCTAGGACTACAGGTCCATGTTACCACACCCAGATAATTTTTTGTTTTTTGCTTTAAAAAAAATTTTTTTTATAGAGACAGGGTCTCACCATGTTGCCCAGGCTGGTCTTGAACTCCTGGGCTCAAGCGATTCTCCCACTTTGGCCTCTCTAAGTGCTGGGATTACAGCCAACAAAGAGTCATTTATTTATGTGGTAAAAAACTGAAAACTACCTGTCTGTCCCCACCAAATGACTAATTAAATTATGGTTATACAGATGTTGAAAATGTTTATAGTATTAAAATCCAAAGAGTAAAATGATAAAATGTATGAGAAAAAATATGCATAGAAGAAAAAGACCAGAAGGAGTTCTGGAGGCTGGAAGTGCAAAGTCAAGGTGTTGCCAGGGTCACACTGCCTCTGAAACTTGTGGAAGAGGATCCTTACTTGCTCTTCTAGCTTCTGGTGTTTGCTGGCAACCCTTGGCATTCCCTGGCTTCTAAATACATCACTGCAGCCACTGTCTCTGTTATCACATAACCATCCTCTCCCTATGTGTCTCTTAGTGTCCAAATTTTCCTCTTCCTATAAGGAAGACACTAGTCATATTGGATTAGTGACCACTCCAGACTAGGGTGACTTCGTCTTAACTTGACCATATCTGCAAAGACTCTGTTTCCAAATAGCATCACACTTACAGGTCCAGAGGTTAGCACTTCGACATATCTTTTTGAGGGGGATGTAATTCAACCTGTAGCAAGTACCATTCCATCTTTGTTTTTCTTTCTTTCTTTTGTTTCTTTTTAATTTTCTTTTCAGGAGATACTGTCTCACTCTGTCATCCAGGCTGGAGCACAGGGACTATTCACAGGGGTGATCATAGTGTATTGCAATGTTGAGCTCTTGTGCTCGAGTGAAATTCCTGCCTCAGCCTCCCAAGTAACTGGGACTACAAATACACACCACTGGGCCCAATCAGCATCTCTGCTTTTCTCAGGGTTATACGGCCTTGGGCAAGACCTTTCTGGGCCTCTGTTTCCTTATCTTTAAAGTTAGGGGCTCTAAAAATCAAAACAATTGAACAGATGGACATAGAGAGTAGAAGGATGATTAACAGAGGCTGGGAAGGGTGGCGGGGGGCTGCGGGGAGGTGGGAATGGTTAATGGGAAAAAATTAGAAAGAATAAGACCTACTATTTGATAGCATAACAGGGAGACTATAGTCAATAATAACTTAATTGTACATTTTAAAATAACTAAAACAAAGTAGAATTGGATTGTTTGTAACGCAAAGGATAAAGGCTTGAGGGGACAGATACCCTACTCTCCATAACGTGATTATTATACAATGTATGCCTGTATGGAAACATCTCATACACCCCATAAATATATACACTTACTATGTACCCATGAAAATTAAAAACAAAGCATTTAAAGTAAAAAAATGCATCAATACCCCTTGCATGGAATTGACAGAAACTTCCTTAAGTGGAAGGGACTCTGGGAAATGTAACATTTCATCCAGGAAAAGATAACATCTCTGTATTTGTTTTTGTTGTTGCTGTTGTTGTTTTTGAGATGGAGTCTCCCTCTGTCACCCAGGCTGGAGTGCAGTGGCACCATCATCTTGGCTCACTGCAACCTCTGCCTCCTGGGTTCAAGTGATTCTTTTGCCTCAGCCTCCTGAGTAGCTGGGATTACAGGTGCATGCCACCACACCCAGCTAATTTTTATATTTTTGGTAGAGACAGGGTTTCACCATGTTGGCTAGACTGGTATCAAACTCCTGACCTCAGGTGATCCACCCACCTCGGCCTCTCAAAATGTTGGGATTGTAGGTGTGAGCCACCGTGCCTGGCCTGTATTTGTGTTTTCTGCCCAATATCTGTTGGTTGCATTTTTCTCCTCTTATATCATATCTCCTTCCTTTCCCTATCATATTAGTTTGCAAGGGCCGCTATAACTAAATATCACAGAATAGGTGGCTTAAACAACTGAGATTTATTTCTCTTGGTTCTGCATGTTAGACGTCCGATAACAAGGCACCAGCAGTTTGGTTTTTTCTGAGGCCTCTCTCTCCTTGGCTTGCAGATGGCACCTAATGACTGTGTCCTCATTGGTCTTTCCTCTGTTTGACTGCTCTGTGTGTCTAAATCTCCTCTTATTTTTAAAATTATTGTTACTGTTGTTTTAGAGACAGGGACTCACTCTGTTGCCCAGGCTGGAGTATAGTGGCATAATCATGGTTTATTGTAGTCTCAACCTCCTGGGCCCAAGCAATTCTCCCACCTCAGCCTCTCAAGTAGCTAGGACTACAGGCATGTGCCACCATGCCTGGCTAATTTTTATTTATTATTATTATTATTATTTTATTAATAGACATGGAGTCTCACTATGCTGCTCAGGCTGATCTGAAACTCCTGGGCTCAAGCAATCCTTCTGCCTCAGCCCCCCAACTTGCTGAGATTACAGGCATGAGCCACCACACCCAATCCAAATCTCCTCCTCTTATAAGATGTTAGACAGATTGGATTAGAGCCTATCCTAATGACCCCATTTTAATTTAATTCCCTCTTTAAAGGGGATGTATTTCCAAATACATTCCTAGTCTCAGTCACTGGGGCTAGGCATTCAACATATGAATTTTGGAGGCACACATTTCAGCCCATACCACTTTTTTTTTTTTTTTTGGCGGGGGGACGGAGTTTCGCTCTTGTTACTCAGGCTGGAGTGCAATGGTGCGATCTCGGCTCACCGCAACCTCCGCCTCCTGGGTTCAGGCAATTCTCCTGCCTCAGCCTCCTGAGTAGCTGGGATTACAGGCACGCGCCACCATGCCCAGCTAATTTTTTGTATTTTTAGTAGAGATGGGGTTTCACTGTGTTGACCAGGATGGTCTTGATCTCTTGACCTCATGATCCACCCGCCTCGGAAGTGCTGGGATTACAGGCATGAGCCACCGTGCCCGGCCACCACTTTTTTTTTTAAGAGGCGAAGTCTCATTCTGTCACCTAGGTTGGAGTGCTGTGTGATCATAGCTTGCTGCAGCCTCAAACTCCTGCGCTTAAATGATTGTCCCTCCTCAGCCTCCCAAGTAGCTGGGACTACAAATGTATGCCACCATGCCCAGCTACTTTTTAAATTTTTTTGTAGAGATGACATTTCACTGTGTTGCCCAGGCTAGTCTCAAACTCTTTGCCTCAGGTGATCCTCCCACCTTGGCCTCCCAAAATGCTGGGATTACAGGCATGAACCACCATGCTCAGGCCTAAGATTCTTTTGCCCTCTCCTCCCCTCCACCTCCCACCAGTCCCCATACCATGAACTTAGATTGCATTCTCCTCTCCCTACAGCTAAAGCCTTGGGGGCCAGCAGTTTACTGCCTTGGATTCAGAAGCACCCAGATGCCCCAGACCAGTCCTGCTAGTGCTGCCCCAGGACTCCCACAGTTGGGAGAGGTCATAGGAAAGGGACCTGAAGCTGGGCTATGTGCAGAGCAGTAGAGAACCCCAGTAGCTGAGAAGTCAAAGACAATATTTTCTGTTTCTTTAAACATGTCTGCTTGTGTCAGGTAAAACTGTCAATGGCCATACTACATGTGGATGTAAGTAGGGAACAAAGCGAAGAGCAAAAATGTGCAATTCCGCTAGACTGTGTGAGCCCTCTCCTGGGAACAGAGTCGTCATTGTGTAGTGTAATAACACTGAGACATGTTAATAAACTCTTGTCAGATTAGCTATGTTATAAGTCTTATTTTGTTGCCACAGTAAATTCTGTTTGGGCTCAGGTCAGTGCTCACAAAGCTCTGTTATATGCACAAATAACTTTGGTGCAGACAATTCCCTCTACAAATTTTGGTTTTCTAACAGTTCTCAGTACGTGCTGCATGTAGAATAGAATCATAGCACCAGAGATTGGCCTTTGATATGAATCAGTGCTAGGCAAGGAAATGAGTGAGTTGGGGCAATGGACTTTGATTCAGATAAAGCACTTCTCTCGGTTAGAGCCTAGCCCTAAGTTGGGCTTTGGAAATATGCCAGGAAGGGGCTTTCATGATTGTGTACTAAACTCATTCCTTTCTGATCCCTCAGCAGACATTTCCTCATCCACTAATCTGCTCTAGAAATAGTCAGGCTCTCCATGTTCACCTGGCTATTCTGTCCATTGGCTCTATGACCCACCTGAGAACCACCTAAACTACCCAGGTCTTTATGCCTGCCACACCTGGCTAGGTAAGACTGTTAGAGTCCTTAGCACTGGGAGACTATAAGTGGCCTCATAATGCCCTTTTCCTTTGACTAGTAATATTCTTTCTAGGAAAATATCCAAAGGTTAAAAAAAACCAGATGCAGGTCAAAATTTATGTGCAAGGATATTCATTACAGAATAGTGAAAAAAATATGAAACAACCTCAGTTACAAACAATAGAAGTTGGCAAGTAAACTACATACCCACATGATGGTCATTAAAAATATGTTTTACAGAAATTTAATGTTTTGAGAAGATGCTCAGCAAGGCCAAAGGAAACAGGGACTGGGCATGGTAGCTCATGCGTGTAATCCTAGCAATTTGGGAGGCCAAAGTGAGAGGATCGCACGAGCCTAGGAGTTTAAGACCAGCCTGGGGAATATAGTGAGACCTCGTCTCTACAGAAAACCGGGTGTGGTGTAACACACCTGGAGTCCCAGCCACTTGGGAGGCTGAGGTGGGAGGACCCCTTGACTCCAGGAGGCAGAGGCTGCAGTGAGCTGAGGTCATACCACTGTACTCTAGCCTGTCTCTTTTGAGACCCTGTCTAAAAACAAAAACAGAAAACTAGAAAATAAAAGTATATGTAAAATAAT